ACTAATTTAATAACAAAACATAAATTATTTTATTTATCTTAAATTTCATCTCAAATCTTCATCGCCCTATCATTACTCATCCCCTAATTAAATGACTGACATTTTCCTATACAATACTATAAAGTCTAGCCTACAAAAGATTAGATTCAGAACCACCAACCGTTTAATTTAATGATAAAATTATCTATCATTTTAATCATAAATTTAAAATTCGAACCATAATTTTGATCTACCAAAAAAAATTAGATTCAAAATTTATTTCATGCAGGCTGTAATGTAAACCACGGGACTCTTTATTTATTTAAAATAAAACAAAAAAAGAAAAAGAAAAAAAAAAGGGGGAAGTCCAGAGTCTTCAGCTTTAGAGTGTTGTCTCTCGTCGCTCATCTAGACTCTAGAGAGTACTTCTCTCATCTCCTCCCATGAGACCCTAGGGTTTGTGATACCCAAATTTGAGTTAAAATTTTCATAAATCTCTGAATTTTCCTCCTCTGCAAATCTTTGATCTTGCTTAGGGCTCAAAACCCTAGCTTCAATGGCCAAAACTAGACCAGGGCTGCTCTCTCCCAAGCCCAAACCAGGGAAGAAGGAGCTTGACTCTTACACCATCAGAGGCACCAACAAAGTCGTCAAAGGTAATATTAATTCATTTAGCTGTTTCTCTCTGTAATTTGTTTGAATTTATCATAACATGTAAAAAAAAATATTGCTTGTGTGGTTGACCAGTAAAAATCTGGTGGCTTTTGAATCTGGGTGTTTTTCTTTGCTAAGCTACTAATGCATTTTGGTTAGAAAAATGTGGGTTTTTGGTTAATGGGTAGATAGAATGTCTGGTTTTTTTGCAGTTGGGGATTGTGCGTTGATGCTGCCATTGAGTGGTTATATTACGTAGTTGTTTGTTTGAGTACAAGCTGAAAATGAAAAATGGGATTTTTATGGCAAATATATTGGTGTATTTTTGCAAAATGTAGTTAGTTGTTGATGCACCCACCAACAACTTGTTTATGTCAAAATGTGTTTGGTAAGTGCTCTTTGTGTCTGTCTTTGCAGAGTGCAAAGTGTTGAATACTGTAGGTTTTGATGGTTGATTAAATGCTTGATGTTCTTGCAGCTGGGGATTGTGTTCTTATGCGCCCCTCTGACACTGGTAAGGCCCCATATGTGGCTCGAGTTGAGAAGATTGAAGCAGATAGTCGGAACAACATTAAGGTTAGAGTGCGGTGGTATTATCGCCCTGAGGAGTCTCTTGGGGGGAGGAGACAGTTTCATGGAGCAAAGGAGCTTTTCTTGTCAGACCATTATGATGTGCAGAGCGCTCATACCATTGAAGGGAAATGCATTGTTCATTCTTTCAAGAACTATACTAAGCTTGAGAATGTTGGGGCTGAGGATTATTACTGTAGGTTTGAATATAAAGCTTCTACTGGGGCTTTTACACCTGATAGAGTTGCTGTGTAAGTAATATGCTCTGTTGGTTTACTGATATGTGATTTTAAGTTATTACTGCTAATGGATTTTGAATGTTCTTTGGTTTTGAAGGTATTGCAAATGTGAGATGCCATATAACCCTGATGATCTCATGGTCCAATGTGAGGGTTGCAAGGATTGGTATGTTTTGTACTCTTGTTGGATTTTGTTTGGACCCTGTATAGTTTTAGTATGCTGGCATACTCTTATGTAAGTTATTTTGTAGTTAATTTTAATATCTGTATGAGGATTTATGTTATTGAAAAAAAGGTTGCAAGGAGGCTATTTCCATTAAGGCAACTAAATCAATTACTCATAATCTTGTTTTGCTTCAAAAGGAGATATTTGTTGGGAGCATGATATCCTATGATTGGTGTTTACATCATCACACTCACAGTTTGGAGTTTTGGCTTATAGATAGGAGCACCTATTTATAAGAAACAGTCTTCTATTATTGTTTGACTACCTATTAGTATTTATTAAGGCCAGAGGTTTAACTTTTTATATGCTCCTATCTGGTTATTTGGTTGTATGAGAAAGCTATCCTCTGTGATCCCAGATGTGTTGCGTGTCATTAATTCTTACCAAAAACTATCCTTTTCTGGTTTTCGCTAATTGATGTCGGTGTCAACTTCACCATATGGAACACTTGTCTTGACTCATTCACTTGGATATCTCACCCTTTAGCATCTCTAGATATGCCTGGGATACCCTGCTTATAAGGTTTACATTTAATATGGTGATTCTTTTATTGTAGGTACCATCCTGCTTGTGTTGGAATGACAATTGAAGAAGCAAAAAAGTTGGATCACTTTATGTGTTCTGAATGTTCTGATGAAGATGTTAAAAGACCACAGAATGGATTTCATGCATCACCAGCATCTGACATAAAGGTAAGACTGTCTGCTGCCCTATTTCTCCTGATTCAAGGTGAATAGTCTGTGTTGTGTTTTCCATGCACTTTATGCTAGTTCAAATGCAAAATTTGTCTATGCTTCTCTCTTTAATGTTTTCGTTATTAAGAGCTGCTGCTTCTAATCCAATAATTAATGAGGCTTTTGTTGCCACTTATAAGTTTTTTTTATGTACTCTTAGGAAATATCCTGTGCTGAAGGTTTCATATTCTATTATCGTACTTGACTTTGTTTTACTAGGCCATTATGTATAATTTTTATAATTTTTACTCTATAAACAAAAGGATTCTTGACATGACAAAGTATAGCATGACAATTTGTTTGTGGAGGAGTTGCCAGGGCTACGGGACAATAAACATACATAGTAAAGAATACATTAATTAAAGAAAATTACATGTATCAATGTCAGTTAACCAATGGAATTCTTGTTGTTATTCATAAATGATTAATGTATAAGATACATTCTACACAGTTATTAGGTGGGTGCCTCGTAAGTTGACACTTGAAAATTTTGCAGTAATGATTTTTTTTTTAATTCTTTTATTTCTTAATTCTAATTACTTGTATTTTTTGTGGTTCTATTTCATTTGCTACCATCTTCAAGTTCCATGTATAGAAATATGTTCCTGTAGTGTGCCAAGGGCCATCCATGTGTACTTCTCTAGAATGAAATTATTTTGGGTTCCTTTTTCAGCCAATGTAATCATTTTTTAAAATTAGACTTTTGAAACATGTCAAAGAGCAATAGACAAACGCTTCCTTATGAGCATGAGGTTTAATTGTACAAGGGAAAGCGCATTAGTGATAATTATTTGAATGGAAATGAATCTGTTGTGTTTTTGATGTTCTAGAAGCAGTTGCATTTATATTTTGTAAATCCTCTTGGCTAATGAACGCTGTGATTGTTTACAGGTGGAGCCTAAGCGGCGGAAGGGATGAGTACCTGGGGGCAAATTTTGGCATGCATAAGAGGACAATTCTCTTTATGCAGATTTAGCTTGTAGACTGCTGTTAATGTGTGAATTGTATAGTGCAGAAAGTTATGGTGTGCTTTTCTCTGACTGAATCTGTGTTTATCTTGTGACATCCGAACCTGTGCTAGTTTTAGCTCAAAGAATCTGTGCAGGAAGTGATCTGTACTTCTGTAGTTTCTCTGATGTTGAACCATTAATCATGAAGTAGAAAAACTGTTGAGTTCCATGTATTGCTTCCCTTCTAACCTATGTTCACCATATTTATAAAATTGTAGGATACATATTTATACTACGTTCCAATCTTAACATTATCAGCAGAAATACTGATTCACATGAACCACTGAGACAATTCCATCAAGAAGGTGGATGATATTTAGTTGAAATGGCTCAAAATCCTGATTATTAGCAGTCCCATGTGAAGTTTTATACTACATTCTCTAAACGCATGCATTTTCTTGGGTGTGAAACTGAAATGGCAAGCAAAGCATGGAAGGTTACTGCTTTGAATGTAAGCAGAAATGGAAGGAACTGTTATTTTCAAAAGTGGGATAGTCTTTTCCCCTGGAAAACACATAAAATTAACTTTATTCACATTAGTAATGTGGCTAATGAACCTGCTTTTCAGCATAATTTATGAAGACTTCCAACTCCATTGCCCTTATATATTGCAATGAACAAACACCCAGAACTCAAGTTTCCTTGTGCCGTAAGAATGGCAATTATGGCTAATTTTGCAGCACTTGTTCTCTCTCTGATTTTCACTGCTTCTTTTGCAGAAGAAAGAGGAATATATTTAGTTTTGATGGAAGGAGAACCAGTTGCATTTCAGGGTGGTATTCAACCCCTCCAAGAAGGAAGAAGACTTGATCCGAACAGGTTTATAAACACAATCAAAACCCATCTTCAAGCTATTCATATTTCTATGGATTCCTCATTCTCATTTGATTAAGAATTTCATTTTTCATTTTTTGAATCATGAACAGTGAAGTTGCAAAGGCTCATGCAAAAAACTTGGTAGATTCTCATGACAGAATTCTAGAGAGTGCTCTGGAAACAGGAAGCTACAGCAAACTCTACAGCTTCAAACATATCCTCAATGGCTTTGCTGTCCATACTACACCTTCTCAGGTATTCTTTCCCTTCTATCAAATTTTCCCAGAAAACAAACAGGAAAGGAACAGAATTCTTAATTTCAAGTAATGGGAATTTTCAGGTTGAGAAACTCAAAGGATTCCCTGGGGTGAAGTTAGTAGAGAGAGACAGGGGTGCCAAGCTGATGACCACATACACTCCTCAGTTCTTGGGGTTACCGGAAGAAGTTTGGACACAAGAAGGAGGAGACAGAAATGCCGGTGATGGGATTGTTATTGGCTTTGTTGACACTGGCATTAACCCATCACACCCTAGTTTTGCTTATGATCTGACGAATCCCTTTACATCCAATATCTCTCATTTTTCCGGTGCATGTGAGGCTGGACCACTGTTCCCGGTCAGTTCTTGTAATGGTAAGATAGTGTCTGCTAGATTCTTCTCCGCCGGAGCTCAGACAGCTGCTCAACTTAATGCTTCAGTGGATATACTTTCACCATTTGATGCAGTTGGACATGGCAGGTAATTGGTGATTAATGTAACAGGACATATGCTATTAATTTGTAATTTTTTTTGGTTCATTTGATGGTAATTTATATAAGACGGGATAGCTATTCCATTTCTCTAAATCCCTTACCACTTAACTCAAAGTTCAAATATGAGATTTCCAATTTGGAGTCTTCTACTCTTGATAGTTGGGCCAACCCCTTTTGGGGCATTAATTTGTATCTGTTCTAATTTTTGTCTTTCCTCTTTCTCTCCTGTTTTGTTAATCAGTCATGTGGCCTCAACGGCTGCCGGGAATGCTGGGGTTCCGGTGGTGGTGAACAACTTCTATTATGGGCAAGCCAGTGGGATGGCTCCACGTGCTCGGTAATTATATGCCTAAGATACTCAACTTTGAAGCATTTGATTTCATTTCTTAATTTTGATGACAAATTAAAAGGGATGAACAATATGCATCTTTTTTAATTTTTTCCACCACCCCCTTTCAATAGAATTGCAGTTTATAAAGCACTCTATCCAACAATTGGAACCCTTACAGATGTGGTTGCAGCAATTGACCAAGTAAGCAAGCCCTAGTAATAACTTGCACTAAAAGCATCTCTTTTCCTTATCTCCTTCAAAAACCTAAATATTTTGTTACACATACATGTGAATCATTAGTATTATTGAATAATAGGAGAGGTTTTGAGTTCGAATTTCTCATAAGTGAAATGAATTGTTGCAAGAGATTCAAACTTGAGACTTCTCAAAGTCTCATTGTTCAATAATACTAAAAATTCAAGCATCAAATAATATGCTTTATGTCAACATAGAAATGATCTATGCTGTAGGCAAGTATAGATGGAGTGGATATCATAACACTCTCGATTGGGCAAGAAGAACCTCCAGAAGACACAGTCACTTTCTTAAGCGTTTTTGACATTGCCATGCTCTTTGCAAGAGCAGCTGGGATTTCAGTGGTGCAAGCTGCAGGAAACCAAGGACCAGGCCCTTCAACAGTAGTAGCTTACAGCCCCTGGGCTCTTGCTGCAGCTGCTTCTACCACAGACAGAATCTACCCTGCTTCTCTTCTCCTAGCAAACCACATAAGCATTCGTGGTGTGGGATTATCAGGTAACTTCTGCTTCAAGTTACCATATTTCCTGAACAGCTCTACTCAATACTTCAGCTAAACAATTCAATTGATGCAGCAACATACTTTGGAATCGGGTCGTCGTTTTACAGGCTAGTAATGGCTAAGGATGCTTTAAGGCCAAATGGGACATTCCCATGGACTCCACAGTATGTTGAGGAATGCCAGTATCCGGAAGCATTTAACCCTTCTGTAGTCAGAGGCAGCATTGTTATCTGCACTTTCTCTGCTGGTTTCAACAACCAGACATCGTCCCTGACAGCCATCATTGACACTGCAAGAACTCTTGGATTCTTGGGTTTTGTACTGGTCGCAAACCCAGCATATGGTGATTACATTGCGCAGTCCATCCCCCTTTCTGCTCCTGGAATTTTGATCCCCAAAGTCACTGATGCAAATGTATGTATGCAATGTAATCATTTGAAAAGTATCAGTTATTGTTTTTGAAACTAATGCATCTTTTTGTATTTGTAGATTATATTGCAGTACTATGATCAGCAAACAATCAAGGATGAAAGAGGGGTTGTGGTAGATTTCAGAGCAAGCGCAGCTATAGGAGATGGCAGAATTGCTTCTTTTTCAGGGAAGGCACCGGTTGTTGCTAGATTCTCTTCAAGGGGACCAGATTTTATTGACAGAAACAGGACCGCCACCAATGTTCTAAAGCCTGATATTCTTGCACCAGGCCGTGAAATCTGGGCAGCTTGGAGTCCCATCAGTGTCATGGATCCTATACTAACAGGGTATAATTTTGCCCTGTTGTCTGGTACAAGTATGGCAACACCTCACGTTGTCGGAATAGCAGCACTGATCAAACAAAAGCATCCTTCATGGACTCCGTCCATGATAGCATCTGCCATCTCCACCACAGCCACCAGGTACGATAACACTGGAGAGATCATAATGGCAGAAGGATTAGAGATTGGTAGCTTGTCTCCCTCCACTTATTTTGATTCTGGAGCTGGCTTTGTTAGTCCATCTCGTGCCCTGGATCCAGGCCTCGTCTTGTCATCAGGTAAACACTTCAGAATAACAGGAAAGAAACTAACGTTCATTTTGCTGTTCTGTTTAGTTTCTTAAGATGAATCCTGTGTGTGTAGCAGAATTTGAAGATTACATTGCATTTTTGTGTTCCATGCCTGAAATTGATCAAGCTGCAATCAAAGGTGCTACCGGAGCATCCTGCAATCAAACGCTCAGCCATCCATCAAATCTGAACCTCCCATCAGTGACAGTATCTTCGTTGAATGGATCACTGACATTACATCGGAGTTTCAGGAATGTAGGAGGCAAACCTGAGACATATCTATGCTCTGCAGTACCACCTAATGGAACAGCTATCAACCTGTATCCACCCATGTTCACAATAGCCCCAGAAGGAACTCAAGATCTTGACATTGAAATCAATGCGACTGTGGCCAGGAATGAGTTCAGCTTTGGCGAAATTTTTTTAACAGGAAGTTGGAATCACATCATCAGAATGCCATTATCAATTAATCCAGTTTCCATATTTTAGATGAAACTGAAGCAGAAAGGAATTTTACTGTTTCTTTGATAAACAATATGCAATGCCTTTTTAGTATAAAATGAAGTAATCAATTGTTGATGAGCCTGATTCAAGACTAATTCTACACAACAATGAATGTCTCATGTCAAAAACGGGTAATAATAACAATTCAAGTTGAAAGGCACATACACTCTTTACACCGAGGGTAACGATACACACTCCTTGCCTTAGGCCTTGTCTGGACATGTTTAGTTTGCCTAACCGCCTTCCTAACCCTCTGCTCAAAAATTTTCCATTCTATGGTATTGTTCTTTGTGAATATGTCTGCCAGTCTTCGCTTGTTGGGACGTATTGTTGGCATTCTCCCTCCACCATAGTATATTCGAAAACCAGATACCAGAGATGACAATTGACTACCCGAGTCTGTCATGGCAAATGCATCCGAAGCAGTGCAGGCAATGAAGTCCAGTGCTGCAAGCTGCAGGCAAGAGAAAGTTCATGATATGTGATGGCATGCAGACCAAGTACAAATGGTATCAACATTCATTAGAACATTAATTGTCACGAAAGCAGCTTTAGAACCTGAGACGAGAAGTTCATGAAAGGGTTGAGTTCAGTTGGTGAAAGCAAGTTCTCTTTAGTAACCAAGTTAGGATACAAGGTTGTCAAAGCAGTCAATCTTGTCTGCCCTCCATATATCTGTGCACCTGCCACAAATATATGTGTCTTACGATTGAAACCAAGAGCAGCAAGCATAAGCACTGCTTCTTCTGGTGTTAATGGACATAAACCTTCAGATCTCAACTCTTGAGGAGAAGGTAACCTGTAAACAAGAAAATTTCCTTATTACTTAAAGCAGGGGATATCAACACACTTCTACAACTGTAAGGAAACAACAACAGGAAGATGATGATAAGAATATACCTTTTTGTCTTCTTCAGAAGTGTCAATGCAGGGAAATGGATCTCCCTATAAGCTTCCAATTCTCTTCTTTCTTCTTCACCTCCTCCAAACTCACACAAAGAATGAGCGACCATGTCAATTTCAAATCTCAAATGTATGGCTAGATATCTAGAAGCTTTTGCAGAATGAGCACTCTTTTCATTCACAATTGATTCTGCATATGTACCAACAAGATAACGATCCAACAGTCCCTGCTGAACTGTGTGCTGGCGCAACCTTTTAAGGAGCAAAGCACCAGTTTCTTGTATTTTTGGAACAAATTGAAGTGCATGAAAGTTGCATCTGCATCGAAGTCTCTAGATGAAGCCCCCCAATTACACAGAGCGTCAAAGAATACCAAGAACAGATTATGTCATCTATCAGATAAATTATGACTACAGTTAAGAGAATCTTGTTGAGGACTAGGTCATCAAGGCTAGAAATTTACCTGCAGCTGAAATGGTATTGGGTCAAATGCCAACCGATGCCCAAACCCAATGAAATGGACAACTTTATTTTGGAGTAGAAGGGGAAGAATGTGTTTTAAATAAAAACTTGGTTTAGCCTCCTTAGGAACCTCTACGTCTGTGACCTGGAACAGCATTCAATAACCAACGTAAATCAATGCAGGCTGAAAACCAATACCACATCAACTAAGATACCATTTAGAATTAATCTCAGAAGAAACTCACAGCACTACCAATTGCCTCCAAATCTAATGACCTTAGCTCCTCAGGAAGTTCCTTCACTATCTGAATATCAGGAGTGAGGTAGTTAATAAAATGTTCCTCCTGATAGATATCGCTGAATTGACTGAAATTTAAAATTCAATAATGGTTACTTTTCCATCTAGAACAAATAGAAGTGGTGTCTAAACCAGCATATAATAGAAAAATCAAAGGAATAGAATCAAACAGGCACATATCATTAAAATAAAAGAAAAGAAGAATGGAATATCTTACCTCACATCTCTCCAGACACTACTGTACATAAATTTTGGAATAACAAGGGTTGCGTTAAGTAATCGTGCTACTACAACAGCATTGCAAACCTGTCGCCAATAATTGTCATTGAATGATCAGAAAATGCACATATAATCTTTGTTGTCCTTTAAAAAGAGAAGCCTGAAAACGCGGTATATAGATAAATGAAATTGAAAAATATGAATTAGGATAAGAGCTGTAATTTGTATCACAGGACTACTTACGGCTACACGCTGCTGGTTAATTCCACCATTTGCAGTAACCATAATGTATCCGTTATTCCCCTCTGTACAATAACCAAAAATTTCATTTGAGTACCTGGCATAACAACTCATACAACAGACAAACAAACATGTTTGTGAGAGAGACAGAGAGAGATACTGCTAGGTTCCCAGTCACGTTGATCGGCACAAGGTCTCCAGGCAGAAGCAGGGACTACAGGTTCCTGCCATAAGTCTTTCGGCTCGCGTTTATTCTGCCCCTATGTGTCATAACACTACCAATGAAAACAGGGAAAACAAGAAAAAGGGAAAAACATTATCGAAACTAGGCAGTTCACAATGCAGAAACATAACCACAAAAGATTAAATACTATATCCAAATACCTCAGCCAAGGCATGTGCAGCCAAAGCCAGCATCCTCCCATATAAACCATTGTATTGCTTCTTCCCTTTACCATGCTTTTTCGACTTTCCCTGAAACAATACAAACTTTCAGTAAATCCATTTCAATCATCTCTAAAACTCATACTTAGTTACCCCCATTGAACTAGAAATCTAGAACTAATTATATGCTAAAATGCAATGTTTTCCTTCAAAATTTTTCACCTTTCCAGATTTTTCAGAATTATGAACATATTCAACTAAGTAAAAACATAAAATTTGAATCTAGAACCCCATAATTCAGTTACCTGAACCGAAATGGAAGACGAATTCTTTGGAGATCCATGGTGATGGGGCTCCACTGGATCCTCCTGCAACCTCAAAAGCATGAACCAATTCACCAAGAAAAACACACCCACCAATCCAATCACAACCACGAGCCCCTTGACTCTCTTCCTCAGGTGCCAAACCCTCCCTCCCTTTCTCTTCCCCTTCCTCAACTGCTGCTTCTGACCCACCCACAAAAACCCTAACCAATCATAACCCTTTTCACCATTCCCAAATAGACTCGATCCTCGTCGAGGGGAATGAACCGGCGAACCTTGCCGGCTCCGGTGGATATCGGGTTGGCCTGGTTGTGGGTTCTCATGGGGTTCAAGACCAACAACACTGGGAAAGGTGTTGGCATTTGTTGGAGACATGAGATGTGGTTTAAGGTTGGATCTGAGAGGGAAAGATGGATGCTTCTGGTTTTGTTAAGAACGGAGGATTGATGGATGGATGTTTGTTAGGACAAGGAAGCTATAAAACAGGCAGATCATCCACTCCGGTTGTAAGAAAATTTAGACTTTGATTTTGTTGAAGGAAAGTGGAAACTGATTTGACGGTTTGATTTTTAATTTGAGGAATACTAGTACTTTTTTTTAAGGATTTGATCCTAAGTTCCATGCAGTATATTATTTGTAAGTAATTTTATATAAAATTTATAATTTTTTGTATAAATTTTTAGTTTAAACATTGTATTTTATTTTGATTAAATTTGATATAAAAAATAATATAAAATTAATTATAAGCATTACATTTAAAAAAGTGTAACATTTGTTTTAAAATACAACTTGAAAAATTTCTTCTTTAAAACTAATTTAGTAACAATTTAAATTTTTACTTAGAGTAATAATATAGATTTAATTTTTTATAATTTTTTTTATAATTTTTATATATCATTAAATAAATATATATATAATTTTTATATGTCATTAAACAAATAAATATAAAAAAATATCGTAAGTTTCAATAAGATAAAAAAAATTAATAATTAAATAACATATAAAGTTTTATAAAACATTATATAAAAAATTATCTTTCCATCATTTTCTTTTAATTTATGTTACTTTTATAAAAAAAATATTAGATATATAAAAAATATTTGTCTATTTTTATGTAAAAGATAAAAATAAGGTAAATAATTAAAGTTAAGTGATAAGGTATTAAAGTAGAAAAATTATTAATCTATCTTTAAAAACTAAAAACAAAGAAAAAAAAGAAAAAAATAATTTCACACATGGCATAATTATTGAAAATAAGATTACCAGATTGTTTCTGAGAATCCATAACAATTTTTGGGTTTTCAGGGAGATCCAGTTCTTATGATACTAGTCTATCACTTCATAGCTGAGCTCCTCCCCAGTGCCACATTGCTTCCTCTATCATGCTTTTTTTTTTTTTTTAATGTGCATTTCAATCTTATTTCTCATTACTTATAATATTTCTTTTTTCCGATAGATACTTGTGATAAAATCAAATTAATTTTGTTTTATTAAATGGATAACATAAATGAAGTAAAATTGACTTTTGTTTATTTTTTGCAGTAACCTGATTCGTAGCTTTTTTTTTTTTTTTTTTTGTTGGTCTTAATTGGTCGAGGTTATGGTATAGGAGACCCGTAGATTGTGCACACAAAGGTTTCCGAATAAGCCAGGTTTGTACATTTGCCCTTACGCGCTCTAGTTAGAACATGACAATGTAACTATTTGAGGTCTTTGTTATTATTATTTTTTTTCAATTAAAATATCTTTGAGTTGGTTTTGTGTATTTTAAAATTAATTTATTATTGAACAATTTCAAAGACATATTCTTAAATTGATCTAGTACATTTAAAAAAAATTAATTTTTTTGGATACTAATTTCTAAAACTTAAATCATAAATTTAACTTATAAAAAAATATTTACTTATTAAAAAATTTCATCGTTGTATTGTATATGTTACGCCTTATGTATGCCTCATTGTTGATGTAAGTTCTTCCATTGCCTATTTTCAAAAAAAAAGATAAAAATTGTTATTTTTTAAGTCGTGGAGGAAGTGATTCCACTATATTCCTTAATAAGAATATTGTTGAGAAGTTTAACTTTCAACTCCCAACTCCCAACTCCCAACTCCCTTCACTTTTAGTAATTGTAGATAATTGTATTTGTTAAAAAATATTATTGTTGATGTACGTTGCATGAGTCAATCTCGCATTGATGGATGATTGATTACTTGTTCTCCATCAAAAAATGTTTATTTTCCACAATAGCACCAAATACTGGCGTGGGTTAACATGCACAAACCCTACCTTTTATTGAACTATGACAACTTCCCTCAATTTGAATGGGATAGAGTGAAGTAACACAATTGGTTTTGAAAAATATTAAAAAAAATAGTTTTGAAAGGTAAATTTGGGAGACAATTACAAGAAAGGGGAAAAAGAAAAAAAGGATTGGGAGCAATTTTGAGAGCGACACCATGTCACCAAAGATTGGGTGCGTAAATTTCATTACCTAAATTAGTTTGGACTGACACCAAAAAAAAAAGTCAGTTTAAACAGAATTTTAGTCTTTAAATTTTTATCTCTTTCACTTTAGTCCCTTATATTAATTATAATAATAAGGGGACCTACTTTAATAAAATAAAAGTTTAGGGACTAAAATTCCGTCTGGACTGACCAAACTACCTTCTTAGTCTTGGATTGGGATTTTCTTTTTACAAGTTATTGTTATAATTATTACTTTTTACCCAATTGCCTCCTAATCTAATGAACATAAAAATAAATCTGAACTCACATGATTTCTCAGAGAGCACCTGTGACAGTCTGTGTTTGTAAAGGCAAGCGTAGATGGAAAAAAATCATAATAATAATACAAATGATGCGGGGAGCATGCTTTCAAAGGTCTCTGATTGTATAAATCCAAAATTTTTTATTATATGCTGCAAAAAACATCATGAATGTGCATCCCAATGTCTCAAAGCATAATTTTCTACTACAACATTTGGCAGCATTTCTAGCTAATATATACCTTAATTTGCATTCTAAACCATAAATAGAAAACCGAAAAGCGTGGAACTTAGTTACATACTTATTTCAGGGCTTGATGTTGATACGCTTCCTGCAATCCGCTTAGTTCCTCTCATTCCGTCTGCCATTTGTGTTTCTTGACCTCTGCATGTTCATGTTGTGTACAAAATTGTATGTATTCAAATTAAATCTGGCTAGGACTCTTAAAATGATAGGTTGATTGTCTCGTGATCAGGAGTCCTGTATGAAAATCCTGATTCATCGCTGGATTGCCTTTTGACCACACTGGCCCTTTGCGCTAACCGCACCAAAGCTTGTACAACCTCGGACATGGGAGGACGAAACTCAGGTTCCGGCTGGATAGAAAACAAGAATGAGGATGAACCGTTCTTTGGTTATTAGAAGGTTGACAGAGAGAATCAGGCTATATTTGCCTCCAAAAAAGCTGAACTTAAAAGGAATTCGCTGAGCATCAGGAAATAAATTTACCTGAACACACAGTGCAATAATGTCTGCGAATCGTGACAAAGACTTTGCAGGATACATGCCATTCAGTGCAGGGTCAACCATTTTTGCCAGTGCATCTATATCATGCAGTTGGGGAGTAGCCCAACTGACAAGTGATTGCTCTGATCTTGACCTTGAACTAAAGAAAGAATAATATCAAACAACCAAAAGTTAATATAGTTTACCTGTTGTTATTCAGACAGGAATCATGCCAAGTAATTTTTAACTAAAGAAAACATAATTCAACTGACAGGAATTATGCCAAGTTGCCAAGAATAAGATACAAAGACGATTATCTAGTGATGGAGAACGTAGTTTACCTGTCCAGTGGCTTTCTACCAGTCAATAGCTCCAGCATCACCACCCCAAAACTATACACATCACTTTTTACAGTGTACACTCCTGATAAGGCAAACTCAGGAGCACTATACCCAAATGAACCAACCATCTGGGTTGAAACCTGCCCATTATAAATAAAGTGAATAAGCTAGTAGTGATGGCAGTTTCACAGAACACTAGTCCCAAGAGGAAAATTCCAGAAGTCAATCTTTTACCTGCCGCTGAGTATTTGGTGTTAGAGCAGCTAAACCACAATCTGACAAGTGAGGGTTGAGCTCTTCATCAAGTAAGATGTTTGCTGACTTGAAGTTCCTATGTACAACTGAAGGCAAGCACACTTCATGTAAGTACCTGACAGGAAAGCAACATTAGGAAGGACATACATGCAAGCACTCATACATTCTCAATCATGGGAGAAAGAGAAGGAGAGAATAAAAAATTTCATACACAAATAACATACTCTAGAGCCCTGGCTGTGCCAAGTGCTACTCTAACACGTGCATTCCAACTCAGTGCATTGCTGCTCTCGTCCATAAGGTGGAGTATATCATGAAGACTTCCATTCCCTATATATTCATATACAAGAAGACGTTGGCCATGCTCCGCACAGTATCCAGTCAGTGTAACAATATTTGGATGCCTCAGTCGTGACATGTTTGATACAGCTTCCAGAAAGTTATCTTCCTCTTGCAATGATAATGCTGCATTGTCAATTTTCTTAACAGCCATTACCTAGACAAGACCAATTACAATATAATCAGTTCATCATGTAAAAATTCGAAATCATAACTTAGAAGTAGAGTATGTAAACAAATAAAATCAACAAGATCGAAAGGGGAAGAGAAAAAAAATAAAGGGACTGCAGTATTTTGGGGGGAAAGAAAGAATGAAATGCCAATTAGTTTATTTCAAGGAATTAATGTAACTACTGCTAAAAGCTAAAAGCCCAAAAAGTTAATTGATGCCATAAAGACCATTAATCCATTTGATCAATACTGCATTAGTCTTCTATGTCAAGTTAAATGACCAATGCATTTTACATATGATATGATATCAATATATTACCTTGCCATTTGGAAATTCTGCCTTGTAAACACGACCAAGAGAACCTTCACCAATTATATTATCTTGACTAAAGCTATTTGTTGCTGTTTGAAGAGAAGCGACAGAATATGATGTAGCAGTAACAGGTGACTTCATCCTGTTCAAGGATCCATTCTTTGACATCTTGGCAACCGTCAAGTTTTCAGCTGGTGCTGGCTTCAGATCTGTGATGGCAGAAACATTTTTTACCCTGGGTTCTTGCATCTCAGCTGTTGCTGCAACATTAAAACAGACCATGACATCAACAAAGTATCAATGTATTAAAATAGACCATTGCATCAACATAGCAAGCTTGTGGGTTCAAATCACAGATAAATGTCAAAGGAAATTACATTGGTGAAATGATATAGGTCAAAACAATTCAATGAATTGGTTATAGATTTGATTTTTCTAATTGGGACATTTCAATTAAACTATTACAAAATCAACCAGCAGTTTCTCCATTTGATGCTGTATGATTAAACAAATTTAATACATCAAGACAAAGTAAAATGGATTAAAATGATTGAGAACTTGAGCTCCTAACCTAATTACAAATTCAAATATTAAAAATTAAATTTTTAAGCATGATAATATTTTTCGTGTAATGTCCTTATTCTGCAACAAACTAATACAAACAAAAGAAAATTGCGCCACCTACGGAATCAGAACTACTACTTCAATGGCATAAAATTATAAAAAGAACCCTCGAAAACTATCTTAATAGAAATAAATAGATAATAATGTAATACTGTTAGTATAAAAGATCATCTACCTTACTTCTATCAATATATTAACTTGCCTAAAGAGTCATGTTCCAAGAGACTATTGTCAATGCTGCCTAAAGAGCAATGTTCCAGGAATCTATATTGTCAGTAGGTGATAAGGCAATTCAAAACCAGATAACAAATAAAAAAGGCTGGGCAAGCAGAGCATTCAAAAAGAGAAAACCTACATTCATTTGAGCCAACTGGCAGACTTCCCATTGAAGCCCTTGCACCAGTTAGATTCCTTTTATCCTTCCAGAAGCAAAAAACAAGAGCAAGAAGCATGAGGGAAACCAGAAACAAAGAACTGAGAACTATGCCCACAATAAGTCCAACTGATACTCCTTTATGTGAATCTGATGATTGGCCACCAGAAGCTGGGGTTTTAGGGGCACTGGGTCCAGAATTATTGTGATTAGAATGAGTGCTACCAGGTGGAGGTGGAGTATATGGGGGCGGAGGAGGGGCTGGGCCATTTTCAAAGGAGTTCCCATCATATCTGTTTTGTTTTCACTAGAAAGTTAAGAATACTTCACATCAATGCAAAACGAGAACACCGAATTGAAATTAAAGAAATACTACATTCAGCTCTGCCTTACATAAAAGTTAGGATTGAGCGAAGTTCTGAAGGAATCCATCCACTGAAATGGTTCTTTGCAACGTTTCTGTTAAAAATAGTGCATCAGAACAAAGAGGAGAAAAATAAAGCCACATATGACATAACTCCAGTACAAGAAAAAGGAACTTACAGAGTACTCAAAGGCAACCTGACAAGGGTATTAAGAGAACCAGTCAACTGATTGTTCTGCAAATAGCTGCCACAAATTCAAATACTGTAAGCACTCCCCAAACTCCACAAATATTTTTAAACAAGTTTTCCTTTCTCCCAATCCCCTCAGAAATGAAGTAGCACTTCACTTACAGCATAGAAAGATTGCTCAGTGAACTGAAAGAATTAGGAAGATCCCCACTAAGGTTATTGAAGGATAGATCCCTGCATTAACAAACACAACCACCCCAACAATTTTCAATTAGAAATATATTTCCAAAATAATACCAACAAATGCAAGTGCAACAATATAGATGAATGCTATCCTCCATCTTTGATACCAAACCAGAATTTACAAACACTACAGACAAAGACACTAGAACTTCTGGGATTAACAACTCTGACTCTCAGGTCCAAAATCTCATAGAGATCTAAACTAACAGATAATCATGTGAGAACAAGTAAGGTGTCTTACAAGGTAACAAGGCCAGTAAGATTAACAAACACGTCTCCAATGAACTGGGAAAGTGAATTATGGCTTGCGTTCCTACAAATAAAGATATAAAATCAGGCAACAGAAGAAGTTCAATTTTTCATGTGCTTCAACAATAGCAAACATAATGCCATAGTTTTTAAGAAAACCACTTACAAGTAAGTAAAATAAACCATGGTAGAAATGGAGTAAGGAAGATTCCCACTTAAGTTGTTGCCTGCAAGATTTCTGCGCCATAAATGAATGGAAATTGTCATCACAAGAAATTAAACTACATTTCCAATTCCAATAGGAATGAAGGAGGGACTAGTGAACATTACAGGCTTGTAAGATTTGGAGGTAATTGATATGGGATGGTATCATGGATGTTGTTGTCACTCAAATCACTTAAAAAACACGGATTAAACAAATTAAGAAATCAATGTATAAATAATAACTTCAGTTGCTTAAAATGGTCAGGCTGAAATAAAAGCTCAAGAAGAAAGAATATACTATCTTACAGTGTCTTTAAAGACAAAAGACCTGAGAGCAAGTACCCCATGGTCCCAGTAAGTCCTAATCCAGAAAGATCACTGTTACAACAAAGAACAGTCACCAAAATAAGCAATTCATAAACCGATTAACTGTGAAATTAACAAAAAGCTACATTTGTAATAGATGCTCTCATACATGGAAACAACAGCTGA